CAGTCATTCACATAATACTTATTATGAAATATATACATATATGTATACATGCTGTACATCATGCGGAACTCGCTACGCTTTCCCCATTAACATTGAGCAATACCAAAATAGTCTAACTATCTGCACTGGAATGCGTGTTGGTTTGGAAGTTACTTCTTTCTTGAGATGCTCTAGGGATGCAAAAATGCCTCAGCTGTTCGGATTTATGCAACATTGTAAACGGTCCTAACTGAAATACCATATGACTTTGGCGCACAAGGTTGATACAACATATTCAAAGCATTCTTGTTCCTCTTGATGGATAAGCGTTCGCACATCGTCATGCCAAATTACGCCACGTCCAAATGCTGATATTTGTGTGTTCCCCACAAGGATCATCGGGTCACTTGACACTGTTGTGTGCTTTACCCTGAGTGAGATATCACTGATTGAATCTAACATATCGTGTTGATTTCTATTTCGTCTGTTCGCCTAGCTTGGCAATTTGTTTGGAAAAATCTGTGGCATTTGACTCCCTTTGGATAGAATTGTTTCGCTATGGATTCTCGAATCAGTCCCGCTTGCATCGAAATTTTCAGTTCGATACTGATTTTCCACTCTATTTCTTGCGGATCATCCTTTATCTTATCCACCTTGAATTTTCTGTCATCATTCAGAACAGGGAGCATTATTTTCTTTGCAACAAACCTTAGCAATCACACCAATAGCGGCTCTCTTATCTGGACGTAGAACAACCACATTGTCATTCGACTTTAGTTGCCCCAGTGCGACCAGGTGGACTTCAGTCAGTAATGCGCGTTGCCGCACTTCATGTCGTTCGGTACATATGTTTCATGTTCATTAATTTTGCTTTGAACCAGCCAAGGCTATCCTCATTTGTCGGTTTCAGGGTTGAGAAATCTATACGGTTAGATTTCCAGATAATGATTCAGGTTGTAAAAAACTGTACTTACATCAGTATATGTTTAACACCAAATCGCTCAGGTCTTCGGGGAAGGAAGAAACAACTGTTTCTTAGTTGAGTGAACTTCTCAGCGAATTCAGTTCAAAACAAAGCCTTTGGCGTACACTATTAGATAATAATTTCCGAATTTGATAGAGCACACAAGATTTGAATGGTCAACAACATTAGGCGCTTTAGAGACAATTGACAACAGCTCCGTAACTTTGACGTTATATTCCTCAATGCGCAACTTGGCCTTGAGTTGTAAATTCTGGCAGGTTTGACGAATGTATAACTGATGACAAAGACTGCAGTATGCAAGTGCAGTGAAACGATCCAGGATACTTTGTACAAACTTGTGTTTTTTCTCTGTTCTCTGTTCAAAGGCGCTCGAAATGTGAAGGACGATGATCTACATTTGAAAGTCGCGAAAACAGGTTATACACATCACTGCAGATGAGGAACTTCACATACGTTGGATCACGGAAACACTGTGAAGTGTTCAATTGACCCTTGACTATTTGCAGCTGGACACAGCCCCTGAGCGAACTGAAAGAGTGAATACAAGCGCATCTAATAAACTGTTCGGCAGTTTAGTCACAGAACCCCACCCAGTTCGTGACATTTTTTTCCAAGCACTGAAGCTTACCGTTCATTTTCATTAAATATACATGCAAACTGTCACACAGAACGGGTTAAGTAAAGGACTAATTGTCTCCAAACAGCATCTGGACATTTCATACTCTGAGGTTTTTCCACGAAAATACTGTACATTGTTAGCCAGCTTCCTTATCATCTCTTGCAGTGGGATTAAAGAGACACGGTTCATGACGATCATTCCACCTTAAAGAATTTCTTTAGGAATTTACAAAGCACGACAGATCACGACTTGACCTTTTTTGTTGCGTCATTTGATCCTTGAGTTGCACTGGCATGTTCGCGTGATCCATTTCGACGGGCCTGTTTATTGAGTTCATTGAACAATCTTCAGGACAAATTGCCAAAGTGAGGAGTATCTTGACAATGACAAATGTCATGAAACTTACGGTCTGTTTGAATATGCTAATTGGACGGAGGCAAGGAAAGTATGGTCAACACACAGAGTAAACAATCTAAGTGTGCATACACACCTCTTCAGGCATTCTGAACTGATAATACATGACAACAAGAACGCCAATGTTGTCGGTTAGTTGCCATATCTTTCGGTGTGTTCAAGGACGTGAATAAAGTGATTTGCAACAGATTAGGCAAAAAAAGGTTGACGAAACCCGTGACATAATCCACACCAGTCGCAGTAATTCTCCGTCAAGAACAGTTAGATAAAACACGGAAAATGAACCATCAATTTTTCAATCGGTACCTAGAAATGAACACAACTTCGTAATTCGAGATGCGCTCGAGTTTCGGTCATCATGTAAATTTACACAAACATCTCGATTTGACTCATGAGTAGTGTAAGGGCGAATCCCATAAAGTAGTAAAACGACCGGTCGCATCGTTCACAGTATAATCAAAGACGTGGGTATAACGTTTCATAAAATAGTTCAAGTAGAAACGTTTTTGGTAGTAATAATAATAATAATAATTAACATACGTTGGAAGCGAATATGTCAAATAGAGAAAATATATAGATCAGAANGATCAGAAAATCAAGCGGTCGGATGAAGTGTATTGTTTCGTTTGTGTGCGCATGCGTGGGTATCATCTTCAGTGAAAACGTCACAAGACCGAGGCGCTTGAGTTCATAGGGTTGGGGACAGGTCTGCAAACGGTATGGTCATCAAAGTATGACAGTCAAGTAAAAAATAATGATAATAACATGAAATTGTGGCGAGGATTGACAGAGAGAGAGAGAGAGAGAACGGGATATAGGAAGATAATGACTACACTCGGAGTTTAACAGATGACGAATTGAATGCCTTCAATTGTACACATTTGACCGTGTTGATCCATCGGTGCCAGTTGTGTGTGGTTAAAATATGAAACTGAAAGGGGGAAAGAAAAGTAATATAAACTTGGATGACGGGCATCCACCTTCGAGAATTGTATTGTATGGTTACCAGTGGAGGCAAAACCGTAAACATATCGGTCATGATATACACCAAGGAATGAGATACTCAATGTTGTGAACTGGTCTGTTTTGACACACAGACATACAGAGAGAAGTAACTTGTCCATCCATAAACAGTCTGTGTTGACATGTGGAAAAGACGAAGCAAGTTTGGAGCTTCACTCGTCAGAAATGGGGTCACTTCGACCGGACTACTATGAAGAGATGTACAACAACCACGATAGGATCGGAGACTGAACGGACAAAATCATGTAATCAAATATGAGAGAGAGAGAGAGCTGTCAGAATATCTCTTCAGTTGGTTGTGAAACGGCTGGGAAAAGAACTTGTTTAGTTCGGAGAGCGGATGAGACAATCCCAATCAACCGTCGTGACGGAAATCAAGTTCTATCAAATGATGCAGATCAATTTTCAAGTGGCACAATTATTTATTCACTTACCCGGATGTAGTTTATGAACAGTGGAGATATATTCAAATATGTATAGCGCGGTGATGGTTGCGAGGCAACAAGATCGAGCAGACGGGATGGATTACATGACTGATTGATTGAATCGACCGTGTGTGTGGATGGCCAATGATCTGTCTACAATGCAGTGGAAGTCACATCATGCAAACCGTGTGCCAGTAGGGTGGGTGGTAAATTTTCCGTGAGCATATCCAATTGCTTCAAATAGAGCTGAGCCGCGTCCGATCCCGTTTGTTCCGGTGGCCTCGGTAGATAGACAAACAATGCGGTGGTATCCGGGTGACAATTGGACAAAATAAATTGATTCAACTCCCGAATTCCCGTCGTGTCCTCTTTATTCGCATCCATTCCCGCGCCGGAGGTTGAAGTGAACCGTTCTAATGTGACCAGTTGAATAGCAGCCTGGTAGGATGATGGGAAGATGAAACGGATGGTGGCGGTGAACAAGACGACAGAGATAAAGTGCTCAAATCAGAAAACAAACAAACAAATACCTCGGTAACTTAGCGTTGAAAATATTTAAATAACAACACGTACGTTCCTGAGAGTTGTCTATAAAAAAAATACACCTTTAAAATCAACAGACTATCATCATTAAAATTTTACTCGCAAACTTCTCAAATGTATTGTCTAAGAAAACAAAAGCTTTCTTCAAAAATTCTCACTCTTTCGGTGATTGCTACCTATTGCTTAGCCTCGGACACTGTCCGCTACAGAAAGCCGAACGTGATTGGCGATCTGAAGTTGGATATGGCTGATCGAACCAATGCATCCAATCAGATATGTTTTAAGGGAACAACCAAATGGTCTTATTACGGATTCATGGATCTCTAATGGGTCGTAACGGAGTGCTGTCATGCTCACGGATTCCGTTGTATTATGAACAGAAAATTGACAACCGGAAAAAGTGAAGATCTTGGAAAATTTGTTAGAGCCGGGAGTGACACCGTGTTCTGTTTCAAAATATTTGAAGGTTTCACGCTGAAACAGTCCGGAACCCTATTTCCCCTAAGGTCGTACTGCAGGAATTTTCCAGTAGCTCAATGAACACAAAGATGTGTCACTTGAAAGAGGAGCAAAAACTGATAAGTGAATCACGCCACATATCAACGGTTGCTAAGCGTGCTAGAGACGCACGGAGGGATTCCTACTGTGGAGAGTTTGATATTCCGAAAGGCTGTTGGGTTGCGCTATACTTACAACGAGAAAATAATAGGGACGTGTGAGCGAATGGGTTAACTATTCCCGAATTAATGAGTCACTTTGTTACTTTCAGTGAAACAGGGATGACGAAATGACGGATTACATCGGTATCACACATGCGATTACAATTCAAGGACACACAGACCGACAGTGACAGGGATAATAGTGGTCACTTCAATATAATTTTTTAAAAATGAAGTTGTACAGAAGGACAGTGTGGTTCGCTGAATTCGAACGATATTAATGTACGCAATGACAGTATTCGCAAAATAAAGGCATCCGCTGTATCGTCACAAGTGCACAGAGAAAGTACGCTGAGCAGCTTGATGGATGCCACGGTTGTATTGATCCAACAGATCATCGTTATTCGGGCCGCAAAAACATCACCCGGAGAACTAACCGAGTCATAAACCTGAAGGCTATGGCTGAGCTGCGCTAGGTGCGATGCCAGTATTGGGTTAACAAAGATGGGCTGTGCTACGGTGTCAGTCTGGTGACCGAGTGGGTATTACACTTGCGTTCTCCTCCTGAGGTCCCGGATTCGCGATTCCTAGCTGGTTCGATGGATTCGCTCGTTGCTTATAACACCCAATCATATTGAAACAGTTGTACGGTGCTTCAGTTCATGATTCATTTGCTCTTTACAGGAAGGAAAATCATCACATAAACAACTCAAATCCTCCACTTCTTCTACAGAACTAAAATCATTCATCTGATTGAACCGCATTCAAGAAGTTTGCCGTAAACCCCGTTCGGTAAACTACACCTTTTCCCATCAAGCTTTAGCCAAAACCCACAATCCTTTAGCCTTGACCTACATTCCTTTAGCCAAAACCCGCAATGCTTTAGCCACGACCCGTAATCCTTTAGCCAAAACCCACAATCCTTTAGCCACGACCCACATTCCTTTAGCCTTGACCTACATTCCTTTAGCCAAAACCCACAATCCTTTAGCC